CCCCGCGGGCGGGCGGCGGGGCGGCGCTGCCCGGTCCGAGCCGCGGTTTCTCCATGCACCAGATCCTGTTTATGACCCCGGGAATGAGATCTTATTTTAGTCGTCGGGGAGAGGAGCGGTGCTCAGTATCCAGACGTGTTCAAGGAGGAGGCTTGGGTCCGCACCTCCCTGCGTGTTCAAAGAGGAGGCTTGGGCCCGCACCTCCCGGCATGGGCGATAGGGAAATGGTTTGAATTGTGTTTCATTCTGTTCGTAGAATTTGTTTTTAAGCGTGGCCTGTCACTTTTTGGACTAGCCGGGGAGCGCGGGTCAGAGGTGAGTGCTGCGCCTCGGAACCCCTCGACCCCCTCAACCGCTGGCCCGGTGGCTCATCTGGCTTCAGAGGGGTCGGGAAGGGCACCAGGGACTCGGCCCCCAGTGCTCCCGGCCTGGCTCTGGCGGGAGACCGAAAGTTTTGTTGTGTTGTTGGTTTTCGTTGCACTGTTTTCATTTGCTACGAGACTGAAGAAAAGGAAAAAACATATTAAAACGAAATAAATCCGTTAAGATGCAAACGTCCCTGGAGCCTGGCTGGTATATCTGCGGCTCTCTGAACCAAGCTGCTGCAGTGGGAAAAACAGGTCCGGTGCTAGGCACGGTGGCATCACCCGGGGCCTCTGCCCTGGGGGCGGTCCTCGGGAAGCAGCCCCAGCTCAGGTGTGAGACCCCAGCTAGATCTTCTAAGCCTCACCCACACCCAAGGGTGACCCTGCCTCTGGCCTCTGAAGGGTGGGGGCATGGAAGGAAATCTCACCCCTGCTTGGCTTTGAGGGGGCCTTCTCTCCTTTGCCAGTGGAGGGGCCAGATGTGGGTTTTGTCCACAGCCACTGTCCACCCTCCCTCCTGCGTGCCCGGCGGCCCTGCTTTGCTCTGTGGGAACTCGGCAGGTGTGGGCGGAGTTCTGGAGTTTGAGTTTGTTTTATGTTTATGTCTTGATCCCAGGTCTCCAGAAAGCCGTTCTGTGCGCCTCCCAGCTTTCAAAGGAGGCTCCGGGAGACTTTTGCTCTTTGTAGGCTGAGCAAAATCCCAGGATCTGAGCCGGTGGTGAGCCTCCATCTGTGCCAGGAAAAAAGAACAGTTCAGAGTGGAGGGGACTAATGCTGGGGAGCTTTGTGCAACACGGGCCACGCATCATTGCAGGGCTTTGCTGCTGGGCCGATGATGCCCCAGAGGGCGGAGTGTGGCACCTTCCTGGCTGAGGGCTGCCGGCTGCGCTGGCTTTGGCAGCCGCCAGTCCTAGTGTAAATCAAAGGGTGGGGGACGCGGGATGCCTCAGCCTCTGCCGTCACTGCCCACTGAGCCTGAGCCTTAGATGAGCCTTCCTCCCGCCCGGCCCGGGGCCATCCGGCTGACTGCACTGTCCTGTGAGTGAGGAAGGGTGGCTGTGAGGCTGCCCAGAGCCTCAGGGCCTCGGCCAGGCCCGGCCGGGCGCTCAGTGCCCTGCCAGGGGCCAGGATCGCCTCACAACTCCTGCCCGCCCCATGCGAGCTTCTCCCAGGGCCCGCTGGGAGGTGCTGGGTTGGCTTTTGCTTTCCCCTTCCCTTTCCCTCCCTCCGTCCCCCCTCCTTCCCTTCCTTCTGTTCCCCAGGACACAGGCGGGCAACGCGGGTGGGGGGGGACCCTTAGGGGGCAAAAGGACCGCGGAGGGAGTCCACACGTAACGCTTTCCTAGAAATGATTTTGGGGACCCTGAGACCCTGCGGGAGACACCCTCGTCCTGCCTGAGTGGGGCCGCACCCCTCCCCCCGGCCCTGCCCCGCGCAGGCCAGGCTGCACCTGCACCTGGGGGCAGGGGCTTCGCTCCCGCCAGGCTGGTGGCATGGGGTGTATAGTCCAGTGGTGGCACGGGACCTCGGTGCTCAGGCCCAACTGGGCACAAGGGCGGGGTCAAGGGGGCCTTCAGAAAGCCCGAGGACAGCGCCGCACCTCCTGCCTGGGATGCTGACCTGGACCGGCACAGGACAGGGAGGGGGAACTGCTAGCTGCCGCCAGATGGCCAGGTGTGAGCACGAGGGAGTGAGCGTGCAGCCAGACGTGGGGATGGGGCAGTGGCAGCACTCAGTACCCGTCCAAACTGGGGTGACCCAGCTCTGCGCAGGAGCGGCAGGGGGCAGCTGAGCTGCAGGACGCTCTGACCCTCACCCCCCACACCATCCCTCCGCGGAGCCCCAGCACCCAAGGCTGGGGGGACATCCTGATGAGGCTGCCTGGATCCCACAGGGCCAGCTTGGCCCCTGCAGCCGCCACAGGCCAGACCCCTCCTGCCCCTCCCACCTCCCGGGAGCTGCGGTGGTCTTCCAGGAGGGAGGGGGTGGCTGAAGGGGAGCGGCCACTAGAGCGGGGGGGTGTCCCCAGTGGCTCCCGCTGGGCCATCTTGGGGTCAGGACACAGTCCAGCTGCCCAAACCCGCTGGCGCCAGGCCATAAATTGCAAAAGCCTGAAAATCTGGATGCAGAGGTGCTGAGCTGAGGCTGAGCCCCCTCCCCCCCCTGCCCCATCCTGGGGTACCCCACCCCTTGGCAGTCTGGCCGAGCTAGCTAGCCTCTCCCCCACCAGCTCCAGACCCCGCAGAGCAGAGCCGGCTCCTGTTTATAGCTGACTCTGAGGTGAGCGAGCGTGTGAGCCTGGACAGACGCCTCTGTGGAGACAAGTGCACAGACCCCATGTGTGCAGGGAGACTCACCACGCGGGCGTGCAGCGCACACCCACTCCCGCCTGTGCGAGGCTGAGATTCTTTTTTGGTTGGTCTGGGCCTGGGCGCTGTCCCTCAGCTCTTCAGCTCAAGGCTAGCGCTCTACCACTTTGAGCCACAGCGCCACTTCGTTTTCTGGTGAATTGGAGTTAAGAGTCTCAAGACCTTTCTTGCCCAGGGCTGTCTTTGAACCATGATCCTCAGATCTCAGCCTCCCATGAGTAGCTAGGATTACAGGCGTGAGCCACCAGTACTCAGCCTTGTAAGACTCATCACTTCCAGCCAACTCTCAAAAGCTGGGTGTGGCACTGTGGATGGAGTGTAAGAGCACTTGCAAAAAAAGAAGGAAAAGGGACTGGGAAGGTGGCTCTGTGGTAGAGCGCTTGCCTCGCATGCATGAGGCCCTGGATTCGATTCCTTACCACCACAGAAGCAGAAAAAGCCGGAAGTGGCGCTGTGGCTCAAGTGGTAGAGCACTCGCCTTGAGCTGAAGAGCTGAGGGACAGCGCCCAGGGCCAGAGTTCAGGCCCCACGACCAAAAGAAGAAAAAAAAAAGGAAAATAAAAGAGCCTGGGCTCTGGAAGCTGCACGCAGGGGCTTTGAAGGGCTCCAGGCTGGGGCAGGCGGTGGGGGGGGGCAGCCCCCCCCCCCCCCCCCCCCCCCCGTCACCAGGCTCCTGAGGACACAGAACCGGGACGGGCCAGGGAGGCCCTGCGGGTGCAGCCTGGGCCTTGGGAGCCCGCTCTCGCGTTCAGACGGCAGGAGGGCAGGATGGGAGGCACAGGGCTCCTTCCCCTCACGCTCTGCCTCTGGGGAGCGGCACCAGAAAGCTCTGATAGGCCCGAGGGAGGGAGGCGGGAGGAAGGATTTATCTGCACATCAGCTGAGCACCGCGTGTGCAGGTAGCTCTTGGATGGGGACCTAAGGTCTGCAGGTGCTGATTTGAGCAGGAGCAGCAATGATGGGGTGGGGGGGGGCTAGGTCTCATCAGGGTCTCTGCTGGGAGTGAGACCTGGGAAGGACTTCCCCTGGCAGGCACTTCCCGGGAGGAGGGAGCTCAGGGAGGTGGAGGGGGCCGGTGAAGGACGTCCCACCAGTGCCCTGTTCCGGTGGCTGCGTGGGGGGGGGCGTCCAGCGGGGCAGGGGTGCAGTGGGGCAGGGAGCAGGACGGGAGCAGGTGGCAATGCTTGGGGAACCTGAGCCCGGCCCTGGGCCTGTGGGCTGCGCTGGGGAGGAAGATGGCCGAGGAGCCAGCTGGCGGGACAGGGTTGGGTCCAGCCCAGCCCTGGCGCTTGGGTGTCTTGGGTCTCCCTACAGAGCCTGGAGTGTCTCTAGGGTCTCGGAATGGGTGCAGAGGGGAGGCCAGCAGGCTGGGGGGGGGGCAGGG